CTCTGTGCAGGTCTGGAGCCTGGGAAGCTCTGGAGGGGAGAGATAATGGTCTTAGCAAGTGGAATGTGGTCTGAGCAAGTGGCATGTCCATTGTGAAGTGGCCTAAAGGTCACTTCCCAGGGGAGGGGGTATCGATTCAGTTATTCGATCAGACCTGACGAAGTCATGCACAAAGCACATGGCTCCCTGGCTTTTCACAAACGGAACACTCTCGCATCACCAGCACCGGGACAGGAAGTGGAGCAGCCTGGGCTGCCCCCAACCCCCGACCCTTCCTCTCCCTCCCTCCAAAGGTGATGGATGGTTGCTCTCCTGACTTCTCACTTCCTGTTTTACCTCTGGATTGCTCAACCAGGAGATAATGGGTGGGTTTCAGAGGTTTTAGGAAGTCCCAGGAATTTTATGCAGAGTCGTATTTCTGAGGGGAAGGTCCACTGAGCTTGTCAGTTTTTCAGGGAGGTTTGTGAGCCAGGAAGGGGCCTTTGGAACACTTTTTTAAAAATTGTTTCTCTTGCCCTGGCTGGTTTGGCTCAGTGGATAGAGCATCAGCCTGCGCACTGAGGGGTCCCAGGTTCTATTCCCGTCAAGGGCACATGCCCGGTTGCAGGCTCAATCCCCAGTAGGGGGCGTGCAGGAGGCAGCCAATCAATGATTCTCTTTCATCATTAATGTTTCTATCTCTCTCTCCCTCTCCCTTCCTCTCTGAAATCAATAAAAAAATTTTATAAAAACAAATAAATAAAATTAAAATTAAAAAAGATTGCCCTAGTTGTTTAAAAAGAAAAGATTGTTTCTCACAAGTAATGGCCCAGGACCATTTTGTCCTCTTCGCTAATCTTGTTCAGCTAATGCTTAAGAACCCATTCCCCACCACCATCCAGTTTCTTGCTTTAATTTTTTAAAAAAATTTTTTATTGAGTTTAGGAAGGAAGAGGGAGAGAGAGAGAAACATCAATGATGAGAGAGAATCATTGATTGGCTGCCTCCTGCACCCCCCACACTGGGGATCAAGCCCACAACCCAAGCGGCATGTGCCCTGACGGGGAATAGAACCACGACCTCCTGGTTCATAACTTGATAACCACTGACCCATGCCCGCCAAGCTAATGTTTTTAATACATGATTTTTTTGGTTAATCCTTACCTGAGTATATTTTTCCATTGATTTTTTTAGAGAGAGTGGAAGGGAGGTGGGAAGAGAAAGAGAAACATCGATGGGAGGGAGACACATTGGCCCACTCCCAAACATGCCCTGACCAGGGCCTGGGAATGAACCTGCAATCCAGGTACAAGCCTTTGACCGGGAAATCAAACCCACAGCCCTTGGGTGCCCAGGTGGATGCTCCAACCACTGAGCCACACCAGCCAGGGCAAGATATGATTTTTTCCCTGCAATATATGATTTTTAAATATGTTTTTATTGATTTAAGGGAGAGGAAGAGAGGGGTAGAAACCACCCAGTTTCTTGCTTTAATAGATGAGAGAGAATCATTGATCAGCTACCTCCTGCACACCCTCTACTGGGGATCAAGCTTGCCGCCAGGGCATGTGCCATGACCTCCTGGTTCATGGGTCGGCGCTAAACCACTGAGCCACACTGGATGGGCTAAGCCATTTTTAAGTTTCAGTTAAGTACATTCACATTGTTGTGCAGCCATCACCACCACCCATTTCCAGGACTCTTTATCTTCCTAAACTGAAACTCTGTCCCCATTAAACATTAACTCGTCACCCCCCACCCCCAGGCACCATTCTTTCTGTCTCTATGAATTTGCCTGCTCTAGGGACCTCACATCAGTGGAACCATACAGGATTTGTCCCCTGTGTCTGGCTTATTTCACTTAGCATAATATCCTTAAGATCCATCCGTGTTGTAGCATATGGCAGAATGCCCTTCCCTTTTTAAGACTGAATAATATGTCATAGTATATACATACTACACCTTGTTTACCCATTCATCCAACAATAGACACCTGATTGCTTCTACTTGTTGGCTACTGTCAGTGACGCTGGTGTACAAATGCCGGCGCAGGGTAGGTGTTAGACTGGGAGGGTCGGACCAGACCTGGGTTGAGCGACCTAGCCACGGAAAGATTTCAGAGCAAGGCTCGCACCATAGGACAACATTTATTTGGAAATTCACAGAGGTAGAAGCAACTCCTAGATGAAACGGGCTTAGGAAGCAAGTTATAGAGGGGAAGGAGGAGCCCTGGGACTTGGGAGTGAGGAAGCTAATGGGAACGTGCCTGGGGGAGGCAGAAAGGACGGGAAAGCGAAAAAACAAACTAGGCCAGCTCCTGGGAGGAGAGTGAGCTGTATCCTCAGTCCTGAGGGTTTTGAGGGTGACAATGTTAGGGGAGCTGCCTGGGGAAGATCTTAATAGAATATTCATCAGCTTTCCAGTCTGTCCTTGCAGGTCATGGTCTCCACGGATCCACTCTCCAATGCAGCTGGTCCTGAGGCCAGCCATGGGGTCGCTGGTCTGGTTTGGCTGCTTTTCTGGGCCTGGAGCTGAACTACAACTGAGGCCTGGATGTTATCTGTAGGCAGGAGATGTTATCTGGGGGGGGGGGGGGGGGGGGGCAGGTCCAAACCACCAGGGATCCTTGCTGTGCTAGGGGAGGAAATGTCACCGGTGAGAGCCCACCTGACAATCGTCTTTCGCTGGGCACCTAGGGCTTTCTGTCCTGGTGACCTTCTGTGTGGCTGCACCATTTTACATTCCCACCAACAATGACAAGGGTTCCAAGGGTCCCGACTTCTTCACATCCCTGCCAACACTTATTTTCCATTGTTTTGTTTTTCATCCTCACAGGAGGATATGTTTATTGATTTTAGAGAGAGGAAGGGAGGGAGGGAGGGAGAGAGAGAGAGAGAAATGTGAAAGAGACACATCAACTGGCTGCCTCTCACACACACCCCAACTGGGGTCGAACCCGTAACCTATGTGCCCTGACCCGGAATCGAACCCATGACCTTTTGGTGTAGGAGGATGGTGCTCCACCAACTGAGCCACACTGGCCAGGGCTTGCCTTTTTTTTTAAATAGTAGCCATGCTACTGGCTGTGAAGTGGTTCTAACTTTGCTTTTTGGAGGAGAGGTGAGTGGCCTTTTTTGACCAGAGCATTTATATCTGTCAGGCTATGGTTGTGCAATTTCAAATGGCTTTTATCTCTTGAACACCCACTTCCCCCCTACCCTCAACCCCCCACTGATAAGAGAGCTATCATTAGCCCATGGCTTAGAAAGGTTAAGAACTTGCCAAGGTCACAGGTAAACTGCAGAGCCAGAAACCAAATCCCAGGCCTTATCTCCTCATTATTTCATTCTGCCTTGTTAAGTAATCCACCCCACTGCCTTCAGGCACAGAAGGTGAGCCCCTGCCACCAAAGGTCATGCAGCTGATGGTGACAGAGCCATGTCATCACCCAATGCTCAGCCACCAGGAGGGTGAGCAACACTGGCCTTGAGTGCTGACTCTGGGGACCAGGCTCCATGCCAGACACCAGACACCAACATTTCTGCAGGAAATAACGCAGGTTTTAAAAAATTTTAAGAGCAGAGAAGAGCAATTCTTTTTTTCTTTCTTTCTTTTTTTGATTTTTAGAGAGGGAGAGAGAAAGAGAAACATCGATGTGAGAGTGGAATATCAATTGTGCTGCCTCCTGCGTGGCCCTACTGGGGATCCGGGCTGCACCCACAACCCAGGCATGTGCCCTGACCAGGAATGGAACCTGTGACCTCTGGGTGCACGGAATGACACTCAACCAACTGAGACACACTGACCAGGGCAGGTGTCATGACTTCTAAATCTTCTAGCTGGTCCATGAGACAAAGGCTGGGGAGCTTTTTAACCCCAAAAAATCTGGGGATGGTCTTCTGGGGTCTTAAACTCTCTTCCTCATTTTATACATCCAGTCAGCCTGCAAGTTCCCTCGATTCCAGAAGGTCTGGAATCGAGATCTTCCCTAGTTCACCCCTACTTAATGTCTTCCAATAATTTCTGTTATGCCAGAGAGAACTTTGGGGCTCCTGGCAACCCTCTTGCTCACCCCTCTCCAGCCACGCCAACCCCCTTGCTATTCCGTAAACCAGGGGTCCTCAAACTACGGCCCGTGGGCCACATGCAAATACAAATATTGTATTTGTTCCCGTTTTGTTTTTTTACTTCAAAATAAGATATGTGCGGTGTGCATAGGAATTTGTTCATAGTTTTTTTTTAAACTATAGTCCAGCCCTCCAATGGTCTGAGGAACAGTGAACTGGTCCCCAGTTTAAAAAGTTTGAGGACCCCTGCCTTAAACAAATTAAAGAATTTCCCTATCTCAGCAGCCTTTGCACTTGCTCTTTCTTCTCCCTAGCTGTTTGTATTCCAACACCTTTTCATCACTCAGGTCCTAGTTCATATATCCCCTGCTCAGGAAGTCCAATCCTGATCACCGTCCCCCACCCCAAATCTAGCGACTATCCCATGACCCTGTTTAATTGCCTTCACAGCAGGTGTTGCGTTTCAAAGTATTCTGTTCATGTTTTCTTTCTTATAATGAGGTCTTGCTGCTGTAGCAGTGACTTTCAATGATATTTTTATGTGACCGATAGTAAAATGAATTTCACATGTAGCCCTGCCATTCAGGTGTCATGGCTGTATAACAAATTACCCCCAAATTTACTGGCTTTAAACAATGACATTTATCTTGCTCACAGATTTGCAGTTGGAGCAGGGCTTGATGGGGACAACTCATTTTTGCTCCTCTTGGTGTCAGCTGAGATGGCCTGAAGGCTGGGAGTTGGAATCATTTCAATATTCACTCATTTGTCTGGTGCTTCATGTTGGCTTATCTGGGACCTTCACGTTGCCTGGGCTGAGAGCACCCCAAAACTGAGAGAGAGCTATCACCAGGCAAAAGATGTGTCCGAGTTTCTGACCTACGCTTGGAAGTTGCAGTGTCCTTTCTGCCACACGCTATTTGTTGCACAAAGTCCTGCTCATGTTAAAGAGAAAAGGAGTTAGAGTCTAGCTCTAGCTTTTGATGGGGAGTGGCAAGGTGGGAACTACGGTATTTCTGTAGTCATTTTTCAAAAATACAGCCTGCCACACCCAGGACACAAATGCAGAATTTAGAGTGTCCCCAAACAATACAAGTACTTAACTAACCTTCCATACCCAATGCACTGAATTTTTCCATTACATTTTGTAGAAACGGCTGATCATGACCCACTGCTTTTATTTCTTCTCCTCAGTTTGAGGAACATGTCGCAAGTGTGCAGTTTGTCTTTCCTCTACTGTTTGGTGCGTTAAGCACCTCACCAGCTAGCATTTCATATGTGTTTTTAAAATATATTTTACTGATTTTTTTACAGAGAGGAAGGGAGAAGAAGAGGGATCGAGAGTCAGAAACATCGATTCAGCTGCCTCCTGCATACTCCCCACTGGGGATGTGCCCACAACCAAGGTACATGCCCCCGACCGGAATCGAACCTGGGACCCCTCAGTCTGCAGGGCGACACTCCATCCACTGAGCCAAACCAGTCAGGGCTCATATGTTTTATTTAACACCTCTATGGCTCCTATTGCGTCACAGAGATCGTCCTCATTTAATCTCACGCCAACACTGAAGCAAGTACAATGATGATCTTCATTTTATTGAGAAGGAGAGTGAGGCACAGGGATGGAATTATGTGCCCAAGGTAACACAGCTGGTAAGTAGCAAAGCTGGGATTGGAATCCAATAATTCTGGTTGTAGACTCCATCTTGCTATGCGGCCACTTACAGAATTTCCTTATTTATTGTGAATCTCCCACGCACACTGCAAACCTCAGATCCACTAGAAGCAACTCACTGCTTGGGCCCTAGAACGCCGCCCTGCCTGCTGCAGGTGCTCCAACTAAGGAGGTATCCACAGCTTCCAGCTCTAGCAGCCGCTTTCCTGTCTGCGCAGGCGCACCAGGTAGGACCTGGAGGCACCCCGCCTCCCTGCGCCGATTGGCCATCGCCAATGACTGACGCAGGACCCGGCGCAGGCGTACGAGGCCAGACCAGAGGGGCGTCTCCCATTGTTAATGACTGGCGGAGGATCAAGCCACTAGGAATGGGTCTCTTCAGGAAGGGGGCGGACCCAGCAAGCAGTTAAATTTGCGCGGGATGGGCGCTCACACAGTCATGGCGGCCTTCCGCGACATGGAGGAGTTGTGCCAGGGGCTGCTGAGCCTCCTGGGCGCCAACCACGCCGCGGCGCAGCAGCGGCGGCTGCTGGGGCGCCACGGGCAGATGCTGGAGCGGCTGCTGGAGACGCAGGACGGCGCCGAGCAGCAGCTGCGAGGTGAGGGCGGGGGCGAGGCCGGGACCCAGGCCCTCCTCTGGGGAGGGTGCGGCCAGGCCGGCCGCCAAAGCCCCTCCCTCCCTCCCGGGTGCCCCCCACCCTCAGCCAACTTCCCCTGGGGCTAGCGGGCGGGCGCTGCTCACTCGCAGCCTCAGTTTCTCCACCCGTGACGTGGGCTGCAGGACAGCAGCCACCTTCAGGGTTTAGTGGTGAATAGAGGGGTTGGGCGTCTGGCGCAGTTCCGAACGCTCGGTGAGCAGGGACTGGGGCGCCGGGTTTCAAACCCAGCACTTCCACTTCCTAAGGTTATTTAGAGGTTTTACGCAGCATCTGCTGTGCCAGGCACGGTGCCCACCTGGATGGCAGCGGAGGACAAAACAAAATCCCTTAGGGGAGCTGATTGCCAGTAGGGGGATGACGCGGAATAAACAGAAAAATGAATAGTCTGGAGGCGACAGGCGCAGGAGGAAGACTAGGCTGTGTAGGAGGAGTGGTGATGTTTGGGGGCGGGTCAGGGAAGGCCGTGTGAGGTAATGTTTTAGCAGGAACCCTAAGGAGCTGGGGGGAGACCGGGCCATGGAGAGGATTAAATAGATCGATGTGGAGAGAACACTGGATAAATAGCATCATTTTTGTCGAATCCAAGACTCCATCAAATATGACTCAGCCCTGAGCCCCAGTTGGTTGGATTTGGGGCTGGAGAGAGGAGTCCGTGTTCTAGGAGCTGGGGCTCTGAGTCAGTGAATGGGGTTCAAATCCAGGCTTCGGAGCTGTGTGCCTGCGGACAAGTCCCTGGACCTCTCAGATGGTGGGAGGGGTCGGGAGGATGCGCTGAGCAGGGGCTGCCAGGTTGTCCTGCTCCGGGGGCCACACTCAGGAGGGTGAGCCGAGAAGGGGCAGGAAGTCTCATAAGAAAGCCAGACCCTCGGCTCTCCCAACAGGAAATCGGCAGGCACATCTCAGACAAACCGAGAAAGCAGCATAAGCGAATTACACTATGAAGGCCGGTGCCTGAGAAACTGGTGGAGTGGAAAGTCCCTGCCCAGAGGGTGGAGAGGCTTAGAGGGGTGTGTGCATGCGTGTGTGTGTGTGAATGAGTGTGTGAATGTTCACAACCATATACGTGTAATACTTTGGTTAAAAATTAACTTAATGTCACTTTGTTAAACCCTTAAATGCCAGTCCTTTGAGGAGCATTTTCAATCTGTTGGCAGGTTCCCCCAACTCTATGGGAAGGAACACAGTTACCTTAAGGTGTGTTTAATCTTTCTGGATGTTGTGTTTATTCTGAGTAGGTGCTGGCGATACATGGTGGCTGTAAGATGCAATCTCTGGTTCGAGGAAGAAGTAATTCAATGTGATAGGGGCTGTCATGGGGCACAGCCACGCCCCAGGAGGGAGAAGAGAGTGGCCCCCTGCCTGGCATTCCCCAGGAGGTCCGGATGTGTCCCAGGGAGGACAGGGAGGCAGAGGCCCAGGACTGAAAAATGTCGCATTTGCAGAAGGAGGCATCTTTGCAGCCAGAGCAGAGAGGAAAACACGCGGTGGGGTGCAAAGTAGGGAGAAAGGAGGCTGGCAGGAATAGTGAAGGTGCCCACAGGGCCCTGGACCTTGTCCTGGAGACACTGGGGAGCCATGGGAGGTCCCTGTGTAGGGGAGTGACTTCGCGTTTGGCCTCGGGAGCAGCCACTCTGAGGGAGAGGGAAGAAAGGACCAGCAGACTGGCAACAGGAGAGACCAAACCAGGGCACATGGGGGAGGCCGTCCAGGATCCCTGGCCCTTGAGGGACAGAGGACCTGCACCAGGGAGGCAGGAGGAGCTGGATGGCCAATTGGATGCAGAAAGTGAATCAGTCCCAGGCTTCGTGCTCGGGCAATAGGAGGGACTGTGACGTTATAAATTAAGATTAGGTGTGCAAGAAGAACCTTAAGTAATTAATTAACTTTGTGTGGATTCAAATGTGTTTCAGTGAAATGGCAGTATTTACGCAAGGTCCAGGTGGAATTGTCTAGTGCAGTGGTTTTCGACCTTGGCTGCACATTAGAATCACCTGGGAATCTTTTTAGAATCCTGATTTCTGGGCCTCATCCTCCGGAAATTGTTTCTTAGTTACTAATGTTGTGGCCCCGCCCCATAACAAAGAAACAGACTTTCCGGAGGACGAGGCCCAGAAATCAGGATTTTGAAAAGATTCCCAGGTGATTCTAATGCAGCTGTGGGCAAACTACGGCCCTCGGACCATACCCTTTTTTGTAATGATGTTTACTTTGAATTTATATTAGTTCACACAAACACTCCATCCATGCTTTTGTTCCGGCCCTCTGGTCCAGTTTAAGAACCCATTGTGGCCCTCGAGTCAAAAAGTTTGCCCACCCCTGTTCTAATGTGCAGCCAAGTTTGAGAACCGCTGGTCTAGTGGGTGTTTGGAAGTAGGATGAATGGGTTGGGGAGCTGCAGACAGGGAAGTGGACCGCTCGCCGTTGATGGCGGGTAGTTGAGGCCACAGGCCCATGAACCACAGCCTACTCCTCGGGCTCGCCCAGGGCAGACCCCAGGAAGCCCGAGTTGAGGGGCCTCCGCCTTCTCCCACCGCAGAGATCCTCCAGGCAGAGAAGGAGGTGGCCCAGAGCCTTCTTGATGCGAAGGAGCAGGCGTGCCAGGCGGGTGCTGAATTGCAGCAGATTGAAGCCAGGCTTCAGAAGGCCAGCGAGGAGGACACCCACCTGAAGGCCAGCCTCCTATATCCTTTCCTCCGCCTCTCCTGGGCGGTGCGAAGTCATTCACACTGGAAACCAAGCTTGGAGCCAGGAGCCCTGGGTCCCAGGGGGCTGGCTTTAGCATGTAGGCAGCCCTCCCTCCAAAGTCGGATCCTTAACTGCCTGCTCTACTCAGCTCACCAGGGAGCTGGAGGACCTCAAGGAGGTGGAGGCCGATCTCGAAAAACAGGAGAAGGAGGTTGACGACGACACAACGGTCACCATCCCTGCCGCCATGTAGGTCCCACACATGCCAGTGAGTGCGTGCCTGAGCCTGTGTGTTCAGTCCACAGCTGTTTTCGGGGGTCGCTGCTGGGGTAACTTTCTTTTCTCGCTCTCTCTCTCTTTTTGTATTCTTATACAGGTATGTGGCTCAGCTTTATCACCGAATTAGTAAAATCGAGTGGGATTATGAGTGTGACCCGGGGCTGATCAAAGGCAGTATCCTTTGTGGAGAAAAGGGGCCCTGCGCACTGCTGGTGGGGTGTAAAGTGCTGCAGCCGCTGTGGAAAACGGGGTGGCGGTCCTGTACGCTTCCGAGTGTGAACACTGAAGAGCTGGAAGCAGGGACTGGGACAGATACAGCATTGTTCATAGTAGCATTGGTCACAGAAGGTGGACGCAACCCATGTGGTCATTGCTATTTAACTGGATGAACAATGGAGCGTACACAGACAGTGGAATAGTATTCAGCCTTAAAGGGAAGGACATTCTGACGCATTACAACCTGCTTGAGCCTGGGGGACGTGCTGAGTGAAATAAGCCAGGAACAAAAAGATAAATACTGTAAGATGGCACTCACATGAGATCCCAGGTTCGATTCCTGTCAGGGGCTTGTACCTCGGTTGCAGGCTCCTCCCCCGCCTCAGGAATCAAAGTCATCGAGACAGGAAGTGGATGGTAGGTTTCAGGGGATGGGGACTTAGTGTTTAATGGGGGCATGTTTCTGTTTTACAGTGAAAAGGTTCTGGAGATGGATGGTGGTGATGGTTGCACAACAATATGCATGTGTTGATGGCACACTTAAGATGGTACCCTCGCCTCAGTGGATAGAGCGTCGGCCTGCGGACCAAAGGGTCCCAGATTCGATTCTGGTCAAGGGCATGTACGTCGGTTGCAGGCTCCTCCCTACCTGGGCCCTGGTTGGGGCACGTGCAGGAGGCAACCAATCGATGTGTTTCTCTCACATAGGTATTTCTGTCTCCCTCTCTAAAAATCAATGGAAAAATATCCTCGGATGAGGATTTTTTTAAAAAGTGGTTAAGATGGTAAATTTCATGTTATGTCTATTTTACCACAATTTAAAAAACAATATGGTGCATTATTAGAGCTTAAATTTTTCTTCACAAAAATCTGTCTCTAAACATCCTTTTTTTAAAATATTTTTTTATTGACTTCAGAGAGGAAGGAAGAGGGAGAGAGAGATAGAAACATCCATGATGAGAGAGAATCATGGATCGGCTGCCTCCTGCAGGTCCCCGACCGGGGATCGAGCCCACAACCCAGGCATGTGCCCTTGACCAGAATCAAACCTGGGACCTTTTAGTTTGCAGGCTGACGCTCTATCCACTGACCCAAACCAGTTAGGGCCCAATGTTAATATTTTATATAACCATAGT